GCTACGCTTAAAACCGAAGCATTGGGATTCGGATTATTAGTAGAAGAAGAAGGAAGTGGCACGTGATTAACTTCACTTTGAGATCGCAAATGATTCATATTCATAGAATTCGAAGAAGAAATATTTGATTCAGCTTCTTTCGAATTTAATTTTACGCAAATTAGCTTTGAATGTTTTAAAGAGCAAGGACACCGATATGGGGAAATACATTGGGCTTTTGTGTGATTTTTTTTCAGACATATTTCGCACAATTTATTAGCACGAATTATCTTTGTTCTTTCATCAATGTCAAGATTTATAAATAATGTGCAGCGAAAAATGGGGTGCATACCTTGTTTACAAAGAAAGCAATTCTTATTTTTATTTTTATTATCGTTTTCAGACACTAAAAGAGTTTTTGGTTTAGAGGGAAGCATTGGGTGCTTTTTTATTTTTGTTCGTAAGAACAGTTTCCATCTACGGATAAAAGTACAGCTTCCCGTTGCTCTAAAAAGGTTATGAATTCATTGAAAGAGGGAATTTCTTTTGTTTTTGTAACAATTCAAAATTTTTACGAGATTCTTTATCGAGTTTTTTCAACATTATAGTTTGTAAAAATATATCAAATAGAGGATCTTGATTATATTTTAACACCTTTAGAGCTCTTAAATTTTTATTCAAACAGTCAATCATGGCGCGAATTTCTTCAGCATTTTCTTTTTCTATTTTCTNATATCTACGACTAATCTTTTATTGTCATATCTTGAAATTAATGCTTCATATAAAGAAGTAAATGTATCAAAGGTTGAAGCAAATTCTTCCACTTCATTAGCAAGACAAGAATTTAAATAATATAGTTTCTGTGTTTCGCTAAGTTGACTGTTAGAAGCAATTAAATCATCAAATTGATTTTTAAAACTAGAAAAATGTTCATATTTTCCGGTAAATATAGGAAGATTTACTGGAGGAATTTTTAATACAGTTTCTAAGTTATCATTTAGTTTATGTTTATTCTCTGTCTTGTTATTAGAATCAGAGTTCAATAGTTTATTAGAATTCATTAATTTCAAAATTCCTACCTCTAAATTATCCAGCCGTTCATCACACTGATTCAAATCAGTATCGATGGTGTCAATATCACCAGGTTGAATGTCCAAGTTGTAGTATTCTTGTCGCAATGACTCACTTCGATTTTTTAAGACTTCTACACTTCTAAGTTTGACATTTAACTCCGTGATGTCATGCAGGTCATCAATTTGTAGAAAGTTTTCTAGGCGGGTAATTTTACCTTTAAATGTAGTTCGTGATCTATTTACGACATCCATAGGCTTAGCCATTGTTCTGATTCAAACTCCGACTCGACGGACCAGATGAATAGAAAAAATTTATAAGACGGACTACTCTTTAAAAAAAGAGATGATTTATTTTTATTTATTTTAATTATCGCTAAAAGCGATTTCAGAGAATTATTTTTAATTAGACGGAGCTACGTGAGAGCCGTCTGTCATTGTGGAAGTTACAAAATCTTCTGACGGTTGGGGCGCTGACGCGCATGCGCGCCAACACGGAATCTACGACAATTTTCTTTATTTACAGCAGCAGAGCTTGCCGATAATTCTACTGCAGATTTTGGTTTTCCGATTGATTGTTTTTCCATGCACAAGGGCCTTAGCATTTATCAGGAAAGCATTTTTCACGATAACGAAATTGGTAATAGCAGTATTTGCCACCTGGATTATAACGTTTACGAGACTTACTGCGATCAGAAGAAGATCGATACATATTTCTTGATGGAGAACGAGAGTTCCGAGTTACACTCGGTTTTTCCAGTTTATTATCCAAAGCTGCAATTTGTTGTCTTAATTCAGTAATAGCATCTGCTCCTGGAGAAACGATACTACTTGCGCTGTATAGTTCTTGCTTTGGTTGCATTTCAACAATACGATCGGCCATTAGTGCCAGTTTTTCAATGTCTTCATCGCTAACAATTAATATATTGCGTACAGAATCCGGCATTTTTTGCAGAAATAGGGTTTTAAGTACTTTATCCGAAATACCATCAGTAGCAAGATTTCGCATTTTTTGCAAAAGCTGACTAGGTTTTATGTCTCCTAAATCAATGCCTGTAAGCAGTCTTTGTAGACGCTTATTTTCACTCTCTTTAAAAGTGTTCAGAAGACGTTCTTTGGCAGCAGTATATTTCGTTTTGCTTTCGTCACTTATAATGTCCCACAAACTTTGAACAAATTTTGGTTCTATTTGGGAAACTAAATAATTAAATTTCGTTTCCTCGGCAGTTATTCCACAAATCGAAAACTGGGCTTCCACTTGGTAAAACCATATTTCGGGCATTTCCGCCCAAAACGGGGGTATTTTAACA